CAAAACGAGCGTTTCGTACGAGACTTCCTCCAAAAGTCACATGTCAAAGTCTGCAAAACGAGCATTTCGTACGAGACTTCCTCCAAAAGTCAAGCAGAAACACCCATCGGAGCACACACATCACGCAGCCCTGCCAAGCAGTTTCGCGAGTCCAGCCTCTCCAAACAACACCCGTTCACACGCCAATCCCACTGTGACAGCGACATTCACTTCTACCACAACTCACGACCTCACAATTCCCTGCGCTTGCCACGAATCTTTCTCCATCCACATGTCTAATGCGCACAAAGTACTGCGCCTGCCACGAAATGTCACCTCCGTCACACCTCGCAACCTCACCATTCCCTGCGCCTGCCACGAGAATCGCACTTCCACGCCTCAAAACCCACACAAAGTACTGCGCCTGCCACGAAAAGTGACAATATCATCTCATGTCAGCTTCAACAAAATTTGCACCACACCACACGTTTGGAATGATTTCGACGCGTTCTGAGCACACTCCCATCCACCAAAATCGGCATTTCAGCTGAGACTTGTCACGAAAACAGAGCTTCGATGCCACACCCTGAAACGCAAATCCCAATGGCACGGCCATGTCCAACACCCCAAGAACACGACTCTCCAAACGCTAATCCCAATGGAACTGCGTAGCAACCTGCGGATCTCACAAAACGCTGCGCCTGTGCAGCGAAGTGCATCACGCTTCTTGCGCGACGTGTCATTTTCATGCAAATCACAATGGAATAGCATCGCAAACTGACACGTGACACATCCATGAAAAGTCACTTGCAAAAGCTTCCCCCAATGGCAGCGCCTTAGCGCTCTACTGCGAACGGTTGCGGACGGTTGCGGACGGTTGCGGACGGTTGCGGACGGTTGCGGACGTAGAAACAACGGATCGCGAACAAGGCTCTACCCCCAGACCCCCAAGAGTTAAACGAGAACCCTTCGCTACGCATTCGGGAAAAAAGGATACAATAGTCTCTTGTTGCAGGTAATAGGAAACAATGCTTCCTAACTCCAAAGAACGCTTCACTATGCACCACAGCTTAAAGGCCCATTCTCGCACTCTTCCGTTCGACCACGCGTGGACAGTTCGCGCGCGATGTCGCGCCTGGATTCCAAGTTCGGATTCCACCGACAAAATGAAGGACGGCTGCCGCTCCAGCGGGATATGCCTTGGGCGATGTCAGACATGTGCAATCAGACTTGGCTATCGAACGTTCCCTTTGGTTGGTAAATGTGTTTCAAGCAACCCGGCCACGGTCAGTGGCGAACTTCAGAACATGAGATGCCTGAGTAACCCATGCTAGATTCTCAACAGATTGAATGCTAGGTGCTTTACGAATATGGTGCTTATGTCGTATTGCCTTCAAAAATATCCACATACTACCTACTTGGGACTACATCTTCCTCCTGAGCTGCCCTGAGAGCTCAAACGGTTCAACTCAAGCTCAGAGTGCTTTTGAAACCCCGAAGCGACAAGGCCCTAGAGCTTGAGCCAAAAGTGAGGGGAAACATTTTCAGGATCAAAATACCACTCACATGTGCCCGGCCCCTGGCGCCTAGCTGTGGTCCTCTTCGGGGCTTTGTTGTTGTCTCATTCCACGCCCTTCTCTTTGTGTTTGTTTGATCCTTCCCTTTGTCGTCCACTAACGGCGAACTCAACCAAACATGCTTCACAGAAATGTCCAGGCACCCACGTAGAGGTCCCTGTTGGAAGCCCCCACTGTACTCCAGCAACCATGACGATCGAGTGGTCACAGGTAGCTCTCTGGATTTGTGTGTGGGGAGAGGTTAGGATAGGCCACTCTCCTCGAAGATAGGCCTCCATTTCCTTCCGTTTCCTCCCATCCGCACCATCAGACCGAAACCAGACCAAAATCAGACCAACCCGCTGCACACGAAGACGATGTGTTGACATCAAAGAGCTCTTCAGACAGGTTGAAGAACTTCATCAGCGCTTGAAAGACCGAATTCCTCAGATAAGACAGAAGCTGATGAATTCGGCCGAGCCGTGGCTTTGGTCGCCTTAATTCAAAGGAGAAGCTTCTCCACCCAGAATAGGATGCACCCGGCCCCCCACGCAGGTTTGGGCATGACACCCGATCAGAAGAGTTCAGATACACGGCATTCATGCGCAAACCTGATGTGCACACCATCTACCTCAAGTTCACCTTGCTGACGACCTCCGTTAGATGTGGGTGAAGGTCGCTATAGACCAAAACCCATTGGCCATGTTTTTTAACATGAACTTTCCCAGGGTGCTGTTGTGGGCTGGTGGTGAGAGCTTTCCTGTCTGCTTACAAGGGCTCATGGATTCTTTGCAGAACTGTTTGGTCTTCCCCGGCCACGGTGACACACTGGCACCTCCCACATGACGGAGGCAGGGCTTTGCGATTTTACATCGTGGAGGTGTTCTTGGATCCAGACAAAGAACAAAGACTTCACAGGTCAGCGAAAGACTTGCAATTGCTTTGGATTTGGCTTTGACCAGCTTTAGTCCACTCTCCCTTGACCATTGACCAGCGGCTTTAGGCCAGGATTACTCTTCTGCTGGCACCAGCCAGGGCTCCACTCCCACTCTAGTCGACGAAAGTTTCGATGATTGAGGATAAAAAGGAGCTGAGAAGCGCAAATTCATCAAAGAAACCTCTCAATAGAACCAAGAATATAGGCCCCCTACCAGAATGGCGTTACATCTCCATATGGGCAGGTCTTATCAATCAACATTCTACATGATCTGCCGGATCCCAAAAAACCGCCTGAGTTTCCAGGTCATTGGAGTGAGCTACAATTTCAATGCACCCCCTGAGCACCCCCTCCTCCCTGATGCGCTTAGGCGCACGATGGCACTGCTGCCGGCAAGGCCTCAAAGGGCTGCTCGCACAGGGGTGTCCAGGCGGGTCCTTGCATTGGATGCTCTCTTTTGAGCATCCTTTCTTTGTTCCCGGACTTGTGGCTGCCAGAAGGTCAGCATTTCTCGATTTTCGCTGAGCACGCAGTGTGAAAACCGGGGACCTTGGTTGACTACCACCGATGATGAGACTACTGGATGTCAACCTTCCATGATTTGGTGGGTTTCACCCACTGTCATATCCGTTTCTTCTCAGCTGAGAAAGGAGTAGTCCATCATAAATAAGACATGATAAGATCCACCTTCAGAAGCCCCTTGAGGATTTGGATTTGGCGGGAGGTGCCACTTGGGATGGGCAAAAAGGATTGGGTGATAAACCTTTGAGAGTTCGATGCTGCAGAACCTGAGTGATGTTTCGGCTTCCTGCGGTGCTTTTGCCGGAACCGATGTCCTGAAACAAATGTCAATTTGCAAACAAAACGGATGTAAGCCCGGACGGAGAGGGAGACGGAGGGAGGGAGGGAGGGAGAGAGAGAGTGAGAGGGTGAGAGAGTGCGAGAGTGAGTGTGTGAGAGTGTGAGAGTGTGAGAGTGTGAGAGTGTGAGAGAGTGAGTGTGTGAGTTTTTGTACATCAGAATGAACATCCACGCCTCCGTGCTGGCTTTGAGGCGGTTTCTTTGTCAAACTCACGCGCTTTTGAGTCCCACCATGATCATGTGTGCGTTGGGAAGTCCATGGCTACCAATTGTGACATCTTTTGGATGTTGCTACGGTGATCAACGGATGAGTCTATCCCTCTCCGACAACTGCGAGGACAGCGAGAATTTGGCCACCGGGGAGGAGTGGTCACAAGCGTCTTTCACGACCGAAACCAATGTGCTGACCCCCAAACACCCGGAGGCTCTCAGTACATCTCAGTACACCAAGGATCAGGAAACCCCATTGATTTGGTTGTCGAGGTCGAAATGGAATTGTTTCCCGGTGTTGCAACTGCTGTTTCACTGTGCGCAGGCCAAATTGGCCTGCTGGGCTCAGGCAGAGTCACATGAACATTTGCCGAACCTAAAACAGAATATATACTGTATTGCATATTAAAAAATATATATATACATACAAATGTGATAAACAATAAGAAAAGTAGCAATGAGAATGCTGTAATGATGAAACAATAACAATACTCACAATAGTAACAATGGCAATATTAATGATATACAAGTCTTTTGCTCTTGCTTAGTGTACAGACCATTTGCTCGTTGGCCGTGAAGGCACCATTTTCCCAGGGAAAACCACCTGACGCCAAACGAACCCTTGCATTGCTAGACCCATCGCACATGTGCTTTGCATGGTGCCAGTTTAAACCTGAAACTACCTTTCAAGTGCCCTGCATACCGGTGAACCCACAGGACCACGAGTCAGACACCTCTGAGGCCCAAAAACCGTGTCTGAGGTCCCTCGCCCACCTGGCGTGGAATGTTCCTCGGGAGATGCGGACATCCGGTTCCGGTTCGGCCTCAACAAGACCCAACTGGTCCACTTCCGCTACGTGGCTATGTGGCAGTCAAATTCGAGGATGGTCACAGTTACCGCGCGAACCCCCCCTGCTTCAGCGGGACTCGGCGACATGCGTCAGTACCTTGAACCTCCCTCGTGCAATCTCTCGGCGCATTGAAAGACGCTGAGTGTGCGCCTTCTGTGGGTCTTCTGCCAGAAATCTTTAGCCAATTCCATGCACAAAACGCGTGTGGCATGATGGCGTTCAAGGCTGTTTCACCTCCTTCCCTCCAGGTCGTGCTGGGCAGAGGCTCGTGTCGTAGCGCAGAGTGAAGTTCTTGCTGGGCAACGCAATGCCACGGCTCGTGCAAAGCTCCTGGCTGGTCCCGGTCGCAATGAAGAGATTCATGGAAAAAAAAACTGCTAAGGGCGGGAGTACCATTTTTTGAAGGAGTGCCTCTCAATGATCCAGCCAGTCCAATTGGGTTCTGCTCCAACCATTCGAACCTGGTGGAGGGTCTTGAAAAGTCTACGGTTCCTGGCCCATATCCGGGGTTAGACCCCTGGTGGCACCAACCCCAACCAACTTCGACACTGAGGTAGTTGGAGTCCTAAACCTGATTTCCAGGCAAACTCTGATTTGCCACCCTCCCTAAGGCAGCAACGTGATTTCATCGAAAACCATGGCCCACAGTCCGGAAACCGGACGGGAAAAGAGATGTTTAAATGTCCAAAAGCCTGGCAAAAAGCTATGAAGAACTGATGAAGAACTTGTTTTTTCAAATGAATGTCCATATTCTGTCTGCTTCAGTGATAAGTGTACCACACTGGGTGCTGTGGATCGGTATGGATTGGTACGGAATGGTGGAACTGGAGTGCCAGGAATGTGATGCGCTGTTGACTGCGTGGACTGCTTGAGAAGGTTTCTTCCGGCAACCTATGCTCCAGCCACCAGCCCAAAAATTCACTTAGTACTTAGTACTGAGCTCAAAATTTGTGTACGGAGATGCTATTACAATGATTGAGTGGGTTCTCTGCAACTATGGGCAAACTTGTTGTAAGCAGTTCAAACTCGAGTTACAGTGATCCTCAGGGGCTTGAAAGGGAAGATGCTGCTAGAGAACCTCGAAATATCTATACATGGCAGACAAATCTACCGGCATCAAAGCCCAACGGAAGCTCGCGTGGTGTCGTGCCGGTGGAAAAGTGCATGCATGGTAAATGTCTGCAGATCCAAATGCTTTTTGGAGTTGTGTTTTGGTGAAACCATCGACACTTTGCTGGCCAAGCGCCGCTCCGTCGGCGAGCACCTCATCGACACCACCCGACGCCGGAGTGGACGAACTCCTGGAAGCGCTTACAGGTGGCCATGAGCAGGCGAGTGCCTCCATAGTAGCCCTGGCCAGCAGGCGAGGTACCACATAAAGGATACAAGACATGGAGAGAGAGAGAGAGAGAGAGCGAGAGAGAGAGAGAGAGAGGAAAAAAGAAAACAATGTGAAATAGAATGAGACAAATAACCATTCTTGTGCCCATTGGAACGAAAGACCGGTGGCCTGCTGTTCCAGAAACAAGCAAGTGAAACCTCATGTTCCCAAGAACCATGCACGTCCTGGTCGACTTCTTGAACCCCTACCACCGCTTCCCGTCGCCTCCCGTCGCCCAATAAAATGTAGGTCTGCCAATCCACTGAAGCTGCTTGGGTCGAAGAGCGGATGAGGCAGCAGCCTGGAAGTGTTGGATTCACCACGTCTTCCATGTCCACCAGGACCGTGTCCAAGAGTTTGGGTCCGTTGGTCAACGTCAGAGACTGCCAACATGCCAACATGGCAGTTGAAGAGACACTAAACATTTCGAGTTGCCAATATGACTTCATTTAGAGTCAAACACGTGAAAAACGTGACAAAACACACGTCGCACCGCGGTGTTGGATTGACTGGGTCATGGGCCCTTACAACTCAGGCGACCGGTTGAAGAACAACCCAAACGTCACAAGTGTGGAGGGCGACGCCGGTTTGCCCAAAGCCTTTGACAAAGAAAAAAAGAGGACTGGACTCATGAAATGTTTTGCTTCACCAGTCTGATATGTTGCTTTGTGCCCTATCAGACTGCCCTATGTTGGTTTGTGCCCCCCCCCCATGTGGCGTCCAACGTCTTCAAACCCGAGACGTCATGTCCGAGAACGTGCGGTGCGTGCCGCAGCCCATACATGTGGGACGTGGTCTGCACTGCGTCCGAGACCATATAGTTCACAGGTGTCATGTCCGAGACCTGCTGCTTGCTTGTCAGAAGCAGTCTATACACATACACATGCAATAATCAGCGACTGCAACAGACATTTAACGAGTTATGCGTCTACGTGTCCAACTTGAGATTTTACCCTCGAGTGGTTAAGAAGAGGCATGTTCCTTCCTGCTCTAGATTTTAACTTTGCCCCCCACAATACATGCTATAGGTATGACTGCCTGCTCTAAGTTTTGCGCCCGGGGGCCCACGAAAGGTGTGCTAGGGTTCTTCCTGCTGCAAGTTTTGCCCACGGATGGCCCGCAAGGTCTGAGAGGTTGGAGCAACAAAAAGGCATCCTACGCAAGGTCTAAGTTATCCTCTCGGACAGGCCAAACAAGTTTTGCTTTTGCAGAATTTAGAGTGGTTCCTTCCTATCTTGGAGATGGAGGTGTTGGGCATTGGTCTCGGCCAATGAGGCTCGGATATATATATATATATATATAGTGCCCATCATGAGCACAGGGAATTTGGCGCGTTGGACATTTTTCGGTCTCGAAAACATGCGTGCTCAATGTCTAGCTCACTGTGGGAGACCTCGCCCGCAAGACCTCGAGGCCTCCATGTCGGGTCACCTCAAACTTGGATTTGCTTAATAAAGGAGGTGTGAGAAGGGGGTTCACCCATAGTGAAAATCGAAATCACCTTTGGCCAAACCAGGCACTTGTCCAAAACCTCAATGTCCAAGACATCAATGTCCGAGGCCTCATGTCCCGATTCTCCGTTGCCAACACCCTATTAAAATTGGAAGATGTTTAACACCGAACGAGGGGGGTACAAGGGGTACGTTGAACCCCTCTGGCTGTTTTCAGCAGCCGCGCGAGCGCGTCCCGTTGGATCCTGCTCCGTTCGCATCCGGGCGATCCACAGGACCGGACCCATCACACAGCCTGAGCTGTTGTGACTCCCAAATCTCCGCGGAGGCCCAGAAGTTCCGGATGGTCACGGACAACGTCTGGCCGCACCCGCCGTCGTCACGGACGGCACGAGGTCCGTGACGACGGGGCGTTGCACCGGTGAACAACGGGGAGGGTGGGCCGAGCTCGACTGCATCTCTGCATGTCCAGGGTCCCTTGCATTACTCAAATCCTGCTGGCAAGTTCAAATCCTGCTGGTGAGTAGATGAAAAGGATTGATTTGAAGTCTGGAGTCACTACCTGAGGTGGTCTGAAACCTGAAACTCATGATGGTCCATATATAGGTATGCCCAAGACTCACGCGTCGACGAGGTAGCTCCGTCACTGACTCTTCCTCCGAATCTCCAATCTGGGACATCCATGGCAAATCCAAAAAAAGATGATGTTGCGCCCTGCCACACGTGAGTCCTCTGATTGTACCATTCAAAACTCCTTTTCGCCTCATGCGCACATCTGCCGCACCTTCCCATGGAAGCCGTCGCTGGGATTTCCCATGAGACCCACACGGGCATACCTCAGATTGCATCGTTCACTGCCCTCTTTTACCAAACAACCATTGTTTTACGGAAGAAAACGATCACAAAACCAGGTCAGAACACGCACAGGGGACCTGGTAGGACTTACTAAAGGAGCTTTTCTTGGTAAGCTTGGAAGTCGCTTCGGCTGCTCGTTGCTTCTGGATGAAACCGCCTTGTCGTATTTTTGTGGGGTCCATTGCGTTGCATTATATACTGTGGCTCTTCCGTATTTGGTAGGCCCATTCTCTCTTGAGTCTTGAATGACATGTGATCGAAAGCTTTGTGGCCTTGTGTCAGCAACAGCTACCTCTATTGAACTGCATACCCGTTGGTGTCCATCAGAATTATTTGAGGGCGGGTCCACAGTCTTGGTGACAAAACAACGCATTCAAATAGAACACCCACAAAGGAGACTGCTGCGGGGTCTCACAAAAGTGGGGCACCAGTTGAACCTGATTGGCAAGGCAAACAATGATTTCGGTCCGCCAGTTGTGTGGGCCTTTTCCATGCTTTGCCATGCTTGCAAACCATGTCTGGCTGGTAGAACGGTATAACCTGTATTCTTTTAACATGCGGAATCATGGGACGACCAACACGCCAAATTCCTTGTTTTCTGATTCGCTTCTGGCTCGGTTCTGGCGTAGTGTACTGCCCTGGATGCTGGGGACCACCAATTGACGGATCACCACAGGTTCCAGAGTGCTGGATTCATCAAGGTCTTCATACCAAGCCTGTGTGGTAGAAAGCTTTTCAAATTGAAAAGAGGAGAAGTGCCTGTTCGCGCACCCAAAAAGTCCATATATGTGCACAGGCGTCCGCGCGTCGTGGTGTAGAAAAAGAGCCATGAAACTCGAGAGCCAAGAGTAGAGCCATGTGCGCTCTAGATGCGTTGGATGGAGATGATCGAGACCTTGAGGAGACCGCAGACCATCTGGAGCCTCCAGCCCACTCCAGCTGTGTCAAATGGCTTTGGAGCTCTCAGGACTTCAGGTTTGGACTCTCATGTCTTCCTTTTGCAGGGAGGTCCGACTTTCCTTGGCTCTGGTTCTGCTATGGGCCCTTTGGAACTGTAAAGCAACAACTTGGGAATGAATATGAATAAAGCTGAATGAACATGAATGAATGGTATGAAACATGCCTCTTGAGAAAATGTGTAGGTCCTCACCCAGCTGATTCCCCACCCTTGAGTCTTGCCAGTCTTGCCCCTTTCTGGTCGGGGCCCCGGCGTCTTGGTCCGTAAGCGCCGGCCAAAACCATCCTGGCAGCGACCCACGAGGACCCGGAGAAACACCTAGCGCTTTTGACAGTGATGCATCGAGTAGTATCTTCAGAAAGGCTGTAACCAGCGGCGGTTTTGTGTGTGTGTGTGTTGTGCATGATGACTTGGAACCAAATCCCGAGTGATCCCTATCTACAGCAGTGCATAAATCACAGCCTTTGGGGGGGTTCTTATATATATATATATGTCTTGGAAACAAGAACGAATATTAGATACTGTGAAAAGTGAGCCCCGGACAAGAGGTGCAGCTTTTGGGTGGAGCACCAAATGGTGGAGCTATTTGGGTTCATGGTTCGATCGGTCTTTCAGCATTAAACTATTCAACTAGGCATCGCAGTTTCCGGAAACTCGATCAGCTCCAGAAGAAACGTCAAGAAGCTGAAGGACGCGTCAGCCCTGAGCACACTCAACCTGCTGGTTGGGATCTTTTTGTTCAGTCGTTCCCCACAGAAGATCCTCGCAATCTGTTGGTTGGTCAGCAACTAAGGGTACTTCGGGAACCCCCAGAGTGGCACTTCAGCCACTTCAACTGGTCTTTCAGAAGCCTCCCCACTCAAGAACCAGGCCACCCCAGTCAAAAAGACTCCACGTATCGTAGACCTTGTTGAATGGGCTCATGATACGCCTTTTTCTGACTCTGAGTGTTTAAAACCATGCGATGCATCGCAAGACCACCAGAGTCTCATCTTCAAGTCCAAAGCGGGAATCGTCAGAACCAAGTGCTCAATCAGTGGAAATGTTAGTGGGGTACAAGAGGCCTTCGCGCATTGAAACCGGATTCAGATTCATGTATATACCACACTGCGATATCGCAACAAATGTTTGATACACCTTTTGTTAAACTTCTAAAGTTCCTACACAACTTTGCACAATACTTCTGCACTAATTTCTGGCACACAGAACTTTCATGAACTTCCACGATCTCGCTGAGTTGCCACCAAGCTTGCATAAGAGCCCTCGCTGATCCTGAGATACTTCCCCACCTATGGCCCTTCCCAATCCCTCATGCCCCTCGTGCCTGGCTGCTGACCGATGAAAAGGTCCGATCCAACTGACCTGAGCTCCGAGAGGCGAAGCCCAACGCACGTGACCCGCGGAGCACGGGACCCGCGGAGGCGAGATGTGACCCAACCTCTTAGGGCGAAGACCAAAACGGTCCCCCCTCCCACCAACAGGCCCAAGATGCGATACTCCTCCAACCCGGTGGAGGCGCCGATGAGGTGGAATGCGCCCGGCATGCGCATGCCTGGTTGTGATCCGACGCCGCCGTAAGAGCAGATGCGAAGCGAGAAGCTCTGAAGGGACAAACCAAATCAGCCATCTGTGGCTCAACATCGGGTCTCCTCGAAAAATGTGGCTCCAAACCCCTGGGCTGACACGGGGTGAAACAGGATAAGTAAAAAAAACAAAGAAACGGGCTCCAAGTTCCAGGGTCTTAGGGTTTTAGGGCCTACAGATTGCGGGCTTGGTGACAGTAAGTTAAAAAGCCTTTGTACTTTTATTTATGGAAAGATTGAAAGTCACATCGGCTGTATCGTGAGGGCTCTTTCAAAACTTCCACGGCCAATGCCACAGGGAAGAGACAGGTGTGGATCCGCCAATCTTTCTCGGCGCTGCGAGTACGGTTGGCCCATGGAGTCCTTCCTGCCACCAGTCAAGGCGCCACTCGCAAATCTCGCACCATCACGTGAAGATTGGCAAGAACCATCAGGTTGAAATAACAAGAGAATCCAAAAGAGCAAAGGTTGCAGTCATAAGGAGGGGACCAGCTGTTCGCTGTTCGCTGTGTGTCTCCACAGGGAAACTTGAGAGCTGTTTTGAAGCCAATTCCCTCTCTCAAGCCTGGACATGGCAAGTTCTGTCAGAGGCCAGGGGCCGCCCCAAACGAACAACAACACCTTGCAGGTTAGAAGAGGCCATCCATTCTCCCATGGATGACAGCGCCTTCTTCTCCCTGCTGTGGGAAGATTCACCTCTGAGGACGTGCCGTTCTCGATCGGCCAAGGCGCCCCAGAAAGGAAGCTTTAAATCTTCGATGGCCTCGGCACAGGTGCCACACCAATCTCCAACCGCCAATCGCGCCAGTGGCTTACGTTGGTTGTTAGGAGATTCTTCAAATGTCTGACAATCTTGTCATAGTTGCGTTCGCCGTAGTCTGAAGATGAACCGGAAAAAATAGTAAAAACAAACCATTATATAAATCGAACCTTGTTCGCAAAAAGCACACATTGCATTCAAAAAGAATGCCATGGAAAGACCTGGCGGAAATCTGTGTGTGTGTGCTTAACCTCTACCCCAACCAGCAACTCTGTGTTGCATTTGCTTTGTTGCCTGTCATCATGTTCACTCAAGTCAGTCTAAGAACGTAGTTTCAATCTACATTAACTAGTCAACTACTATATATAATAGTCATTAACATAGTCTTGGAAGCTGCACGTTCCATGTCTACGTTAATAATCAGTATATAGATCCTCCAAATGCCCTGGACAAAAAAGCCAAGCGGCATGCTGCACAAAGCGGCCAAAGCTAAAGGAGATGCCAGAGCTCGAAGAGATGCTCCGAGACAAAGTGGAGTTGTAGTCCGGGATCTTCCTTTCTGAACAACCGTGATTCATCGGTTCCACGAGTGTTCCACATGACCCGAGACTCAAAAGGAACAGCCCCCTTAACACCACACACGAGAACGTGGACCCGAGTCACCTGGAAACACAAGTGACCCGACCCGGGCACCAATACAAATGCCCGGTGCCAATACAAAACTTTAGAACGGGATTGAGGATACAAATGCTGGGAGTTTCTATAATCGCGCTTGAAGTACTGCTCAATTTTGGCGGTTGTCTCTTCTAAATGTCCGGTTCCTCCTGTTGGTGAACTCCCCGGAGAACCCAGCTCACTCAAACATAGGCAAAATAGATCTATATACTAGCATCGACCCCACACAGCAGCGGAAGCTTGTTTTTTCTTTTTGACAAGTGGGCTGAACCCGTGCCCAACCCCAAGGGGCCACAAGCATACCGATCAAGCCAGATCATTCCCAACTCAAAAAGTGTTTGATATTTAGCTTGAACATTCAAGAAGAGCCATGGAAGCCAAAGGAGGCAAGGCAGAATCATCTCAGCCCAGCATCCAGAAGAGCCATGGGAAGCAAAAGGCCAGAAATCGGCGTTTCTATGCAAGAATTCTCACAGCAAAGCTGTTTGGGGAGTTATAGACATAGAACATGCTTGGTGAAATTGGACTTGGAACCTTCCCGTGAGTTTGCTGGGGTCACTGCTCTGAGAGGATTGGTGGAGGAATGTTTGAGGGCAAAGACTCCTCCGTTCTAGAATTACCTAGTCCTGCAGAAGTGCCTCTCAATGGGATTTGAATGTGATTTTATCTTCCAAATATTGGCTGCTCATTTACTCAGTCAACAACCTTTTCCTTGAATCCTGCTCTGATAACAAAAGCAAAGGGGCATTTAGAGAAGAAGGACAATTGAGAGGAAGTTCAAGGAAAAAACATTCAAAGGAAAATCGTCTGTACAGGGAAGAGGAAAAAACAAGGAATATTTGACGAATATGTAATATGTAGCAAAAACAAGAAGGTCCAGGGGTCTTTTGAAAGGGACAATGAAAAACATTATCAGAAAAAAGAAAAAGCAGAGAGAAGGACATGTCATATTTAGAGGGACAAGGACAATAGGGGGACCGCTTAGATTAAAGTCTTCAAAGGAAATTGAAAGATCGCGCCGAATCGCGCCGCCTTTCACAATAACTTTGCAGCAGAAATGAAAAGTTCTGTGCGCGCCAAACAACGCTCTTTCAAGATCCTCCGAGGTCCCCGTGTCCGACAACTGCACCGGATACGTTCTCTTCCTTCCATCGTCCAGACAACGTCGGCAGCCCGACAGACCGTTCCTCCAAGTCACTTCCAAGCCTTGGGCTCTAAAATGTAAAAGAGTGGGGAGACCTCGGCTGACGCTCTTTTCTGCCCGGACCAAACACCGAGGCGAAAGGACAGGAGCGAGGCCGAGGCTCAAATCTGACCAACAACACATCTCCAACTGCACTTCCAAAGAGCAAACGCAAAGTCGAAGCCCCTCTGGTTGGCTGCTGGTTTCTCAACAAAGGAGATCACCTGCAGTTTGGACCCTCCCGACCGGTGCGGCCTCCGTCCGAACGTCGGCCACGTCTGTTCTTCGGTGAAAGTGCTTCACCTACTCAGACGTCCTCACTGACCATCCCTTGTCGCTGGTCGCTGCTGGGTGCTTTTTCGGGGTCGGCTGTGCTGTCATCAGCGCTGCAAAAAGATCGCAGTGGACAAGGAATGGAAGAGTTCGGGCATATTCGCTCCACAGAAGTGGACTTCATAAATCATAAAGCATCATAAAACATATGTAAAACATAAGAAGTGGACTTCATGTGGAATCCGTTGGTTGTTTTCTGTCATAAGATCATCAAACATCTGCGACAAGGCGCTATTCACCACCCGCAATGGTCCACTGGACATTCTCCTTGTCTCCTGGTTCTTATTTATCGTACCCCTCTTCCGCCACCACCAATTCATTCTCTTCCAAAATACCGAACCATGACCTCCCCAGTTGGACCTTGGTGCTCATGGGCCGCCCCCTCGTCTCGTCTCACCCACCTTACTCGTCTCATCCACCTCGCACATGCCCCGCTCTGAGGGATGGTCCACCTCACGACACCTTGGACCGGCGAGGACCGGCGGTCCGGTGGTCCGAAGATGCCAATGTGTGTATATATATATATTATAAATATACTATATTATATATATATATGTATACACATGATGTCAGCTATATAATATATGATATCACGGATCTTGCTTTGTCAGGATGTTGATAGGTCCAACATTAACAGGGATGTATCAATCTGTAATCATGCCAGCTCCAGGTGTCGAAAGATCAGTATCTTTGGTGGCAGAACAGAAGGGGTCTGTTTTCTGACCATTCCGAAAACCGGTGCGCCGGTGGGGTGCCAGAAAAGGGCCGTGGATGGGTACTCTTATGTTCGATGGGCCCGGAAGGCCTGTCGTCGATCGCCACGGCGATCGCATGGATGGGGGCCGCGCTGCAGGCGGGGCCGTCGTTGGCGGAGCCTTTTGGCCATGAGGGCCATGAGGTTCTTTGCCCTGAAAAGGTGGTTAAAGATTCTAAAATCACACGGCCATTGCTTGTTTGACCCCAGCCTTAAAGTGGCGAACAACACGGAGAGGGAGATGTGGGATGAACTGGTCGCCTTCGCACTGACAAACGCGGCAGCTCAGTTCAGGCGGGCAGCCCGTAGTACAGCATCAAGGAACCACCCTTGTAGAAATGGAAATCCAGGATCCTGGAAACCAGTGCCAAAGGTCATTGATTCTCATGTGAAACTCTGAAACTAGAATGTAATCAAAGTTTTAGCGCTCTGACTTCTAAAAGCAAATCTCATGTTGGCCAGGGTATGTGAATTCAGCATCCGAGCATGCCAAGAACAGCATTCCAGGTCCCATAGTGGAAAACCATGCTTCTGCAAAACACTGTGTTTCAAGAAATGGAGATTCATCTTTGCCATGTCTTCTACCAAATGTGGATGTCCTTCCTCAGATCTATATCATGTATAAGACTGCAAACGCTCCAACTGGCTTGTCCTGAACGTTCAGTACCGGGGTCTCCCGGCAGACCGTCGCTTGGGAGACCGGGCCGGTTGGCCTTTCTTTTTTTGCGTTCGCTTCGCAGCTTTCTGGAAGGTGGTCACTCATTTTGGCTTCAAAAGAAGTGGTGGATCCTGATCAAAAGGCTGGAAGTTGACTGCCAGACGAGGTCAAAAGGACTGGGCATTGCTCGGAATCACGATTTCCCTGGCAGTGGCAGATATGCCCATCGACGGAACACGGTCCCTTGGATTAGGTCCGCAGCTGATCCAAAGATTCAATCAACTTTCTGCAAAGCTGTGCTGAGCTGGTAAGCTGAAAGCTGAGCAAAGATGCTTAAGACCTTTACAACATTCAGACATGACCACTGGCGAAGAACACTGCAACACGCTTTGGATGGACCGTCCAAAATGTGTCGCAATATTCTTCGCCAACGTCCTTTCATCACCACAGAAAAAAAAAAAAAGCAACTTCAGCAACTTCTTTCGGCTGGCCAGCTGGAAGAAATCGCTGGAAAAACCACTGAAGGATCTGAAGGACTGCAGTCCGGTCTGCTGGCAAGCAGGAAAAAGAATCATACCTCATTGCCGCGACAGGCTGACAGGAGAGATGCCGCCACTGCGGCAAGCGCATGTTCACAGTTCACAGCACGGCCGATCATGGTGCGTGCAAAAGCAGGGTTCGAGCTGGTGAGGAAGCCAAGCTACCTTGTCGGAGAACCATGCCATAGATGGTGTCGCGCAGCATGGACATTAGTGCGTAGGCCGTTGAGATCGATGGCCTGGTGTCACCGGCCAGCTGCACTGCCAGAAGCGATTTAGTCTGTCATTGGAGGCGGTGCAAAAGGCCAATCTTCATGGAGGCCTGAAGGATGTTTGTGGCCTTAAGAAGGGACACTTCATGAATGATAGGTCCATTTTCCATGTCCATGATTAGTTCAAGTCTGCAAGAAGAAAAATAACACAAATGATTAAGTTCTTGTATAGATTTCTTATCATCTTCGGGTTATTTCGGAGACTCGCAGCCACTTCATATCTCGGAGACTCGCTTTTCCTCCACCCCCATGTGGGGTCGGAGGGATACGATAGGATGACGAGCATGATCTGAATCAGTTCGAAACGTCCATAGTTGTAACAGTCCATGTTTGGATCACAAAGAGTTAGAAGTAGTTAGAAGTACAAACATTAGTTACCAAACACGTGCAGAATTGGTGGGCACACTTGTGCTATTTCATGCATGGGAATCCAACACGTATATATAAACCATCTATGGTCCCACAATGTCACCCGCATGACCAAATAAGCCCCTGCAGGGCTCCTTTGTAAATCAAAGTCTTTGAAGAACAGAGTATCTCCAGCGAAGACGACCATGTCGCGACCTGCCACGTGAATGGAAACAAGGAGAAGTCAGTCGAAAAAAAAAAAAGGCGGAGTCGTTTCAGGGCCGTTGAGTTTGGAAGGACCTAATGAAAATGAAACGAAATGAAATGCGACGTTGAGTGGCCGAACGAAGCGAACTGAACGACCTCACCGTGCTGCTCCGGCAAAACCAACTGCTCCATCCGGACCACTGTGTGAGTTTCTCATCCCTTTTGGTATTTTTGGTCGAAGGCTGTGAAAAGGAGAACGCTGTTTCCTACGGTGTCCGTTTTGGAAAAGACTCCGTTCTCGAAGGGCCTCCTCGCGGACTCACCGAAACCCGTCCGTTAAACCCTAAGACTCTCGGACTCTGAGGCTGCCCACTATCGATGGGGCCCAGCACCCTCGGTGCAGCGGATCAAGTTTGAAGATTTTTGAACGAAAGGAAATGGTGAGGGGTTCAATAGGTTCAATAGGCCAAGTAGACCCTTGACAGCATGGACATGCAATGACACGGATATATGTAGTACTCAAGTCACTGCCAATCAGCATGTTAAAATCTCAACTGCCAATCACGCGTCGGCGTCCGCACCTTTCGGTGTCGTTCACCTTTCAGCTTTCGCCTACCATGGTTCATCATCCTACACCCATTTTCGGAACGAAAGAAAGACCAGCCACACACTTGGCTCTAAAACCCAGAGCCTGGTTGACCCGAGAGAAGCTTGACCGTTGCTCTGTTCATGTCCATTTGGTCAACCAGGTCGGTCAACCAAGTTGGTCAACGCGTCCCCTTCGTGCCATCACCCACAGCCACTTGAAAAGCCCGAGCTGGCCCACGACCAAGGCACTGCTGCGCTCTCCGCAGGCCCAGCTCCACATCTCTGAGGACACCTGGAGACAAAGCGACATCTCTTCCAACAAAACACGTCCGGTTCTAAGATGACAAATGTTCAGATGTAGACTGTACAAGTATAGATTAACATCTATATCATATGTGTATCTATTTGTGTATACTGATATCTAACGTGTGGCAGCCAAAGAGCCTTTGCATCACACTGGTGGTTTGGGGAAACCACCCGCTTTTGGTTTACTATGGGAGAATGAACTTCTCTGTCATGTGTGCATCTGTGAGCATGTGTGATCAGACAAATGACTTCAAGAGATTGATTCAACTATTGTAAGGCATGGTGGGGTCGAAGTTCCCATTACCTGGCAAAAGAGGAGGTCGAAAAAATAGAATATAGAAATATACAAAACCATCTTAGGATGGGCTTCAGGCATCTTCTGCTCTGCTCTCTCCCCACCCTCCAGCACCATAAGGGCAGACTGAATTGGAACGATTTCATTGGACCTAAAGGGAATTGAAGGGAATTCACTCTCCATCCCTTTTCGATCTATTTTGGAACCGTTCCAAGTTTGCCAACGAACCAGACGAAATCGGTGGATTCGGAACTCTTGTGAGAGATTTCTTTCTGGTTGCCGCCCATCGCCGACTGAATGCCGCCCGTGACAAGCCCTTTCCACTTGAAAGCAACCAGCAACAAAGGTTGAAGGACCCTAATTCGACTATCCCATAGGTACCCCAGGTAACGGGTCCTACAAGGTCACTTAACCTCTCTTGGCAGTGGAAAGGACCGAACCAGATGCCAACGGAGTCGCTCGACCATGTTAAGCCGCCGAAGCCCCCGGCCTCGGCCCTTCTCTACAGCGGTGGCGCCGCTGTTCACCACCTCGGCACCAGAAAACCGCAATGGAAACAGCTAGAGCCGCTGGTGAAGGTGGTGTTGTAAGAAAACGAAACGAAAAATGAGTCAGGGGGGTCCATCATCCCAAAATCTCCGTAATCACCGCCCACAACCTTCCTGCGACCTGGACAGCTATGCAGGTCGAAACTAAAGCATGTCAGTTGACTTTGGGAAGATCTTCAGTCTTGGGAGAATGCAGCCTGGTCAGATGCCCAAGCCTGGTCAGCGTGGTGTACTTTGGATCACCGGAGCTCCAGATTGACCGTGTCCGCTCGCATGCACTTGGCAAAGTGGATCCGAGTGTTAGTTCAAGTCGGTTCTATTTGGCAGTGAAGGAAATTCCTTTTGGTGGCAATCAAAGGCAATGCTTTAAAACGGTCTGGAGCTCCCAGGGCCAGGATGGAGCGAATCAGGGCTCACAGACCAGCACACAAGCACCAAGGGATCGCATTTAAGCTCCAACCGACACAGGTAACGAGATCACTTTTTTAGGTCACGCTTGAAAGAGCATGTATATTTAGTCCTGTTTACACCAAACAATGCACCAACATATCCTGGAAAACTGACCCCTCATATACTGTTGAAACATCAGAAAGACTCTCTTGCAGGTCTGATTGGATAACACTCGTGCCAAGACTCCAACACAACCCTCGTTCGTCATCGTTCGTCAGGGCACTCGGCTCACTGCAATTCCTTTGGCAGTCGCCCAGCGTTCAAAGTGCTTATACTTCCTGACAGCGAAACGACCGCAGGTGCGTGGAAAAGGGTCACTGCACTGGAAACATTTGGAAGGTGAACAATGCCCTTGGCACCGCTATTGGGGATATTTTCCCGCGCAGGTGCTGGTGCTGTGGTGGTCTTGGAGACTCTTAGGGCCTTAGGGGGCCCAAGGGTGTTGAGGGGAAGCATCATTTCAAGTGCCTGGCCAGACCATCATGGCCTCAGGGCACCCTTTAAGAGCTTCAGATGGCCAATCATCTGCCGCTAAGGAAGAACACGTGGCCTCTTCATGACTCGTTGGAGGTGGAGAATTTGCCGGGTCATCTCGCTAGAAATGGCTGAGAAGAGTCTTGGATGAAGATGCCGAGGATCAAAGCATTGCTGACCAGAAAAATGTCCGAGATCAGCCGGTTCCTGCCCAGCGCAGTGGGGACACAGAGGACACGTTCCGTTCGAAACCTTCGTTCTCACGGACCGTACCGGAAACCACCCTAAGGGGCTCACCCCTCAACGGCCTTCAGGCTCCCTCAACGGTCCCTCACAACGCGTCGCAGTTGCCAAAACGTCGCGAAGACGTACCCAGGATCATCAATCGGCTAGTGCTCAGATGAGAACCAGAAATCGAATGCTCACCCAAAATCTGGCCCAATACGTGTATATTCAAACATATATATATATATATGTATAATATGCTATATATGTATGTCTATGTAGGAGCATTGAACGATGCAGTTTGAAGTTATTCGTTTGTATCGTATGGGATTTGAAGGCAAAGTAATAGAACTACAGTAAGATAGCAACCCCCACAAGACTGCCACCACATGGCTGATTCGCTTCCACCGTGACCGCATCGGCCGCGTCGCGTGCAAGAACAAGCCAAGCAGCTGAAAAAGATATTCCTCGAGACGGTGCAGCTCACCGTTCAAGCAAATGAGCCGAGCCAAGGTTGACACGGAGAGCTTGCGGGTCAAAACAATTATATAAGTATATATTATGAGTATACGTAATAGCAATGTACTCGTCAGCGAGGATTTATTGCACGCGTGAGTGCTGGTGTTCCTTTTGCACAAGCACTCTCTGGCCAGGGTCCTGGTGGTTGCTGTGCATGGATCGATGTTTCCCTTCGTATGTTTATCGAACTAGGCTGACCAGGGCTGACCGCATTCTCCTGCTCCGAGGCTGATGACTCATGAGCTTCAAGTTTATAAGCTTCATGTGCTTGCCACTGCTCTCAACAACCTTCAAACAAGTAAAGACAACTCGTGTTGCGACCGGTCCTGACATTGCTGGTCCCCCATCATCAACACCTACGCGGACCTACGCCCTCATGGACTCTCAGGATGCATTGTGTGCCCCCTTCATCACTTCATATCAAACAATATCCTTTGTTGCTTTCCTCTGCATCCTCCAACCTGATACATCAAATCTCTCCAACCTAGAAACGCTCGCTTAACCCCCAAGACCCACCCCTCCTATAGGGGCCACTGAATCCAAGAAACCACAGGCACTCTCCTTTCGATCAAGCGGCCCACCAGTGGTCTAACATTGGCTTGCCGCCCACAGGCAGAAGTGCCTGTCTGGCAGTCTCTTGGTGGGGCCCTGCACTTCGGAGGGTGCAGTAAAGGAGTCAAAACTGGCCCAGCGGGCTAAGAGCTTCTCCGGCGACTTCTTTTGGGATGTTTTTTGAGCATGGTTTCGTGATGTTTCGTGTTTTCTAAGCCTGCCATCTTCAGGTTCTCTCTGGATGCAAGGGATGCTAAGGGGTCCATAACCAGCATGTCACGAAACAGACCAGGGAGGTCTTGCAAGCAGTGACAAGTGTGCTGAAGTGGATTTGATACCACCGCACCAAAAAGCTCACTGGTGTTTTCACCGCCCGCCGGGAAGTAGAGTTGAGACTAGAATGACGCATAGGTTATGACTTCAAAAAAAAGCAAGGCTCGAAAGCTTTGGAGCCCCTAAGGTCCTCAGATCTGAAGTTCTCTCAAGCAGATCCCGAGACCATCCGATCCGAGTCCAGACGCATCGGGGATTCGGTCACCAGGGGGTACCCGTGCCTGGCGCACTGCCACCGTGGTGCCGGTACCCATTTGTTTTGGGGGGGTGCAGTTTCTTGATGGATTCAACAAAGGCTCAGAAGTCGGATGGATGCCTTCAACCTTCTAAGATGGCAAGCATGACTCAAACCCGTGGGGTATTCTTACGTTTTAATATGGCTGTGGGTCAAAACCCGGAGCCCCGAATCCCTGGTAGGCTCAACGGGTCGGTCTACTGGTGCGACCCGCAGAGGCACATCTCTTCCGTCTCTTCCAAAACATCTCGCAGAGTCGACCGGTGAAGCTTGAAACTTGAAACTTAAATAAAAAGCTTCTTGCTACTAGTGGTAATGCCAGGAGCTACTACAAGAAGCTTCTTGCTAGTAGCGATGCCCTTGTTACTAGACCCATGTGACGCCTTTGGAAGCCCAGCCAAGTCGTCTTCATTGGCCTCTTCCAACTCCTGGCCCGGCTGGCCCCGGTCATTGATGATGCAGACTCCGGAGATGTAGAACACTCCAGGCCAGATGTAAAACCATTCTGGTCGGTTGGTCGCCGCTTTTCTCAGCGACAGTCTACATCTATATGAAGTCTGTCTTCCAGGTCCACTTCAAGCGTTCTCCCTGATATATCCTTTGCAGGTTCACCTCAAGCGTTGTCACCATAGTCCCCTTCTGAATTCCCCACAGGTCCCCCCATGGCCTCATGTTGAAAGCGCTTTAGCACTTGGCATCATGCAGTTCATAGTCATAGTTTAAGGCTGAAATGCCTGACAATCACGTAGCATCTAAACCTTTTTGCGGATGCTGCACTTCTTCATAACCCAGCAGGCGTCCGCTGTGGCCAATGTGGTGGTCGATGGTTCAAAGCAACAAGTCTACCAGTCCTCTCTGGCAAGCCAGACCATTCAGGCGTCAACCCCACCCCTGTCCGCTGGATCCGCAGAAGCAAAGATCGGTCCTTTTCAACTTTGGAAAAGCCGGCAGCCAGCACAATGCAAATGGCCCCCTCATACATCCTGCAGCGAGCAGCCCTATTTTAAATGGATGGAAGGTCTGCGGTCTGCCTGAACATTTTGGAGGTGCTCATCTTGGATCAATGTTCTCAGTCCCAAAGAGGTGGCGCATCATGACACCAAATCCAAAGACGGAAGAACATGCTGGTTCCTCCCGCTGAAACAGTGGTTGTGTGGATGCGTCTCCTTCCTTTCTGTGTGTTTCCCACACCCACCAGCGTCAAACCCATCAGCCAAGATTCCAAGTTCCTGGCCATCGAGTTCCTGGACATTCCATTCACATGTCCAAAAACCAAAGGGTTGATGTGGGTCCCGTCATTTTCGCACTTCAAGGTCATTTCCATGCCTTGACATGCAAACGGTCAGGTCACCATGAGGCAAAGGCTTTGAATTTGCACTAAGACCAATGGAGGTTGACGTATGTTAACATACCCTGGTGCGTCTCTCCGCCCTAGGGTCGCCAGCTCCTTCTTCCTTCACCCCCACCCTCCGCTCCTGTTCACTGCCGCGCCATCGCCCATCTCTTTGGTGCCCAAGCGTGGGAGGGCCGACCTCGCCATCGACGGGTGAACATCCACGTCACCGGGGGGCGGGTGGAGGAAGGATGGTCATGTATCAGATACTGTATCACCGGTTGAAGGTATAAAGACAGTACGAAGGCAGAAAAAAAAGAGAACAAGTGGAAAGCTGTGATTCGCTTGAACCCGCGATAAGAGAACCTGGGAGAGGTATGCGACATCCCAATGGTCTGTGCGTCCCGTCCAGATGACATGAATTGGCTTGGTCGGATACTGGATGTTTACAATCCCACGCTCACTTGGCCATCTTTCTTCCACATGTGCACTCCCATTCCAGGACGGCATGGCCCAACCCCCTTGACCCAGGTCATCAGTCTATTTCCCTCGCGAACGGAGAGTTGAAACCGGCCATCTGGTCCTACTGTCAAGCACGAGCAGAATAGTGCACCAATACCTTTCACTTCTTCCACGGCAAGATGTCGTCTGGAAACCTGCACCTACCCCTTTAAGTAAAGGTCGTTCCTTTCCGGGCCACCTAGTCAGACCATTCAAATAGTCTTGAGCTCCCCACAACCCTCCACTTGCTTTCTCTTTGCCGGCGACTTAGACTCTGAGACGTGGTCCAAGCAGCATGGGAGCTCGTCAGCGGTCGCACCGGTTCGCCCGCGCCCGGCGTGAGCGCGCGCCCGGTGGAGCGCCGCGGTGGGTAGAAAACCGTCGTGCTTTTTTTTTTCAAGCCAAGACCATTGACGTCTGGCGACCCTTGTCCCATGACTTCCCTGGTTGACTCGTCGCCGCGACAGGGCTGGGGTGTGGAAAAATTCCAATGATTAGGATCCTCTTTGAGCTTGGCAAGTCTTCGAGGTCTCCGAAACTCAGATCTGCCTCTCTTCCGATATTCTGGCCATTCGTACTCGGCCGAGGAGAACCGGCGGCCGTTAAAGGGTCAACGTGAGAAACAGCTATGGTCTATGATGGTCTGGTCTGTGTCGAGGTCTACTCGAAGGTCCACTCTAAGGTCTCAGCTGTTTTTTCATTCATGGTCTACTCTATGTCTATGCAGAAACAGCTGCAGGCATGATCCAGGGCGGCCCTGCTTGTGTTCATGTTCCTAGGAAGACCTAAGAAATGAGAAGAATCTGTTTTCTGGTTCTTCCAACTGGATGCTCCTCCGACTTTGCAGGATTCGGATGCAGTGGTGAACCCAATGGGCATGGTCTGCCCATGAAGGAAAGCCCGATTCGCGTGGCGAAGAGTTGCAGATTCGTGGGGCAAAAGCGGATCTGGGACGGCTCAAATCCGGGCGTAAAACTGAGATGGATCTTTCTTAGCTGCTGCTCACCGACCCATACCAGGCCTTGAGCTAAAAGAAGAGTCAAAACATCTCACCCAGAATTCAACCATTTCAATGTTGGGCTCCTTGTTCCAGGGTGTGAAATACTTCGCAAAACACGTTGGAAGAATGGACAAATTGGAGTGCTAAGACCTTCTCAGACCGTCTCAGAGCTACTCTCAAGTAGTTCAAGTTCCTCACCGGCCCCTAAGTCTTAAGTCGTTGGAGTTGGCGCATTGATGGGTGAATTGAAACAGTTCGACAGAAGTTCGACATCTGAAACCTTGAGATCCAAGCATCAAGACAGCGACCCCTTTTTCCAGCACAGGCAAAAGCCGCTCCCATCCTCTGCTCCGTGGCTCATCCTCTCTCATCCTTGCCCCCCCTCATCCAGCTAAGCAGTCCAGTTCCTCTTTGTCTCGCCCCGCCCCTCCACGTCTCTCGGCTGAACGGGCGCCATCGTCGCGCCGGCAGAAGGTCACCGGGACCGTGTGGTTGGGCACAGCGCGGATTCGAAGGGCCGCAGCCGCCGCTGTAGAAAGTCACGAAACGATTCGAAGGCGGATTCGAAGGGGTCACACCCTGCGATACTCCTTCTTGGCTCGGCCGAAGGGGCTGCCAAAACCCCGCGAGAGCGCCAAGAAGAGGACTGCGGCGGCGAGAAGGATGAGATCTCCAGCAAGAATGAGGGTGATAAGATGATCACGCCTCTTCAACTTGTCCACAATTTCCTGTCACAAACTGCCAGAACCACAAACAAGGCCGACATGACATAAGCCAACAATTGATCGAAGGGAAATGCCACAGGTGTCAGCAGCGTTGTTATTCCATATGTGAGAGATCAAAAGCAGAATGCTGCTCAGTTGCCTTTAAGTAACAATTGACAAGTTCAACTCTTTCTCTCAGCCTTCAGGCGATCCAAAAAGGAAAAGATAGTAAGCAACGCAAGAAAGGGATTTGGTAAAGGAAAAATCCAAATCTCTGCTAGCACCCCCGAAGCAGTGCCGAAGCTCCTGAAGCTTCTGGAAATGCAGGTTGTACGGGCTCATCGGATGCCGCAGTAGCCAGGGATGCGACAAATCATCAAGGACATCCTGCAAGGCTTTCAGCCTCCATCCAGAATAAGCTTCGGGCATCAGCAGCCGCATGACTTCAAAGGGTAAAGATAATTGGCAGTGAGAACCTCGCGTGCAGCCGCAGTGTTGGCTGGTCTTGAGACGGGTTCATTCGCGGCCTTCAAAAGAAAAGACCGAGTCCGAAACAGTTGTTGTTCTTCAGGGTGAGTAGCTCAGTTTACTTGGTTTCCTTTCATCAAGAGCAAGAAAGAGAGAGAGAGAGAGATGCCTTGAACAGAATGGAAGACCCACGCAATAACAAATCCACAACAGCTGCTCACCAAGCAGCTATATACATTCCCACAGCTACTAACGAAGGAAGAGGGAATGTAAAAAAGAAGTTCCGAACGCTTGAAACTCTTGAAACCTGTCTTGATCCCAAACATTGGAACTCCACTGGCACACCATGCTCCGCCTGGCTCCTGAGGGCATGGTCTGTATCTGGACAGCTTGGCTCGTCCCGGAAAGTGCAAAATCATCGGTCGGCTCCCTGCGAGCGGAACGCGGAGCGGAACGCGGAGCGACTGCGGAGCGACTGCGGAGCGAGGAGCGCTCCCCAGCCGAAACCGTTGGCCACTCTGGTCGAAGACCGGAGGGTTTGTCAGCTGAGATGAGACCCACTCTTAAGGAAAAAAAGGAACATGTAAGGACCTCTTGAAAAGCCGAAAGAGACCTGCACAAAGACAAAGCTGCCTGGGTCTGTTCACCTCCCGCTGTCCAAACCTCGAGGAAGCATGACAATACCAATGTCGACTGATCAAACTCGCATGCCTTTGATCTATTCACCAAATCCCAACCCCCAACAGCAAATCCCAACCAAGTGGAATTGAGAGCTTGTGACGCATGTCCATCCAAATGATTCCAAGGAGCTCGAGTGACGCTGTCCATCCAGCCACCCCCTATCCCCCATCTCGCCTGTGAGACGATTCCGGATCACCGGTGTGGACACCTCGTGCTCCACGCCAATGGACCCGGGCGGCTGTCCAAACTCCTCGGACCAGGGTCCATCTAAGAGCCCATCAATGCCCAGCACCTGCGCTTGGAGGTCGATGGGAAGACTATATAAAGGGTCCAAAGGGAGGAAAAATGGAGAAAAGAACATGAAGCACTGCCAGGTGGGAAGACCAGGTGGAGATAAATCATCCCAGCTGTGCAACAAAGCGAGTGTGACGTCTTACCTCTGAGTGACCCAAAAAAAGAAAATAGCATGTCGAATCAGTCGCCATCGTGTTTCATCCAAATCTCCGGCGCTTCGACATGCTTCGACTCGGCTCGTCCTTTCCAAAGCTCACAACAAACCACAACCACCTGCCTCACCTGCCAGGCCTAGCGCCAGGCCGGCCCTCCTTCCCCCAGCAGCCCCAGTGCCCCGAAAAATTCGGCGTGTCCGGAACCTGCTCTTCGTCGGTTTGGCTCGGTCACCGGTGGTTCAGGTCCGTAACCGGTCCTTTCAACGAGAGACATTCATCAAGAGCTCGTGATTGTAGTCTAGCGCCACTAGGTCTGGGCGAGCCAGGGTCACGTTGGCACACCACTCCTGGCGAGCAGGTGACCATGGCGAGCATTGCGTGCCAGGTGTGGCGTGGTTGGTTTCGGGATTCAGCTGGAAAGGATGGATCGTAAAATCCGATCCAGAGATCCAGGAGATATGTAGATATTCAGATACCTTCAGAATCCACACTCACAGTGCTGATTTTCATATCCAACCCTTCAACCTCTTGCATGATATCAAGAAAGGAGATCTCAAAGGCACCTGCTCAGCAAAGAATGCACTCCGATTCACAGGTTCATCAAAGAAGGAACGGAGAGCCCAAACCTCGCCAAGTCAACCAAAGCGAGTTTGCGACAATGATGTCCCTGGGAATCATAGAGGGATCAGCTTGGTACACTTCCGCTCATATACATGGAAGCCAGGGACTAAAAAAGGCCTAAATACATGGCACTGCAAACCTATATTTCTGGCTGCCATGTTAGGGAAAGGTCTAAAGAAAGTAGAAAAAAATCCTAACATGGAAGCAGAATGAAATCCACGGAAATGCCTTGTTTTCACCGCTAACATGAAAGCCGGCCATAGCCGGCTTGGTGGTTTCTAATTTATAGTGTCTTTTCTTTGGTTGGGGCTCTGCTAACATATATCCCAATTTTTTTGCCTCTCTGCTTCTACGTATGTCTGCAGAAGAGTACCATATACTTATTGTTGGTTGATCCCCTCTATTGATCAACCAACCCGCAGTAACAGGTCATCTATGGCTTGCAAAATGACCACGCATGGCATGTGTAACTTTTTCTGCTTTGAGCATGAGAGGCTGAACGCATTTGCCTCCGCTCGACGCCCTGGCTCGAATTAGGAATTCCTTTGGCCGATTCCTCCTTTTTCGGAGGACCTCGCTACGTGTTTTGTGCCATAGGCCAAAGTGGCCTGGCGCTCACGACTACGCCCTTGCAGTGGCGGCGGAAAACCTTTGGAGCTTGAGAGCTGTTTGCTAGTTGAAAACTACACCCACCTCTTTTTGCTCGACACCTTTGCCAATTTTGTCGTTACCAGTTCACCAACGAAACTGGTAGCGGAGCCTCGGCTTCGCTGGCCGGGGCTCCCGCTGATTCACGAGAGGCTTTGACCGGAGTGGATCAGCGGTCCTTGCACGAAGAGATCCAGGGCACGTTTGGTGAACTTTGCTTGTTGGCCATTTCCCTTCATTCGAATTCATTGCGCGAGTCTTGCAGTATATCTTCTACCCGAAGGGATGGCAGAGAAAGACAGAGACAGCTCACTTCGCTGTCACTGGGATGGTGATGCTTCGACCTGGCCCGACTACGTCAGGAAGGTTAGATTGGCCTATGAGAAGACTCGGAGGAGGCGTCGATCACAGTTGGGACCTGACCTTGTTTCCCAGCTCAGTGGCAAAGCATGGGTAGTCACTCAGGAGATTGATCACCGACAGTTGACTTCTCCCACAGGCGCTCGCTACCTCATCCAGTTCCTTGAAGACCGATTGGCACGTGTGCCGATCCCTGATGCAGGATCGAGAGCTGAAGATCTTCTCCTACGGATGAGGCGAGCTCCCGGACAAAGTATGGCTACCTGGCGCCACTTGGTTCGTGAGAACTACAGGAAGTTGCAGCGGGCCCTCAAACGAGCCCGTCTTGATGGAAAAGGTGGTTCCAAGTCCGGCACTTCTCCGACCTCGAGCCCTACGGCAAGACGCCAGAGTTTTGGTTCGGTGCCTGAACCAGCTGCTGAAGATGAAGGATCAGAGTATGCGAGAAGAGAACCGGCTTCCGCCTCAGCTCCTGCGGAGGCCTCAGCTGCTGAAGGAGAACGGTCTCGTTCCAAAGGCCGTGAAAAGGGCTCACCTTCTCGATCAGGTGACCGATCGGAATCCAGCAGCTCTGATGAGACGATGGAGCAACTTTGGGATGATCTTGATCAAGGACTACCAGAAGTTCTTCCGACTGAGTTGATCGGTTGGCTCATGCTTCGTCGATCGTCCTTGAATGCCGCCCAACGACTCAATGTGCTGTCCAGCATTGGCAACAGCCTCAAGGCCGAGGACATCGAACGAGGCCTACGCGGGGCTGAAGATGAACTACACCTCCTAGACCGAGAACGCGATGGACGCCATAAAGGATCAGGAAAAGGCAAGAATCGATCCAGCTTTTGGGTCGAGTGTGATGGAGAATGGGGCCTGTTCTTGCACGATGACCTTGACACCGAAGACCTTCTGGAGAACCACGAGATTCATTGGGTGCACGGTGGACTTCAAACGGTCTTCCAAACGACCGAAACCACTTCCTCTCCGTCGATGACATCTCCCTTTTCCTCAAGGCCCTATGAGCATGTTGAAGATGGCTTCTGGGCGAGTGATCCCACTCATCCCGGGGCCTATGTGTGGTGGTCTTTGGAGGATGACGGCGAGTACTACCACGCTGATGGTGGTGGCACCTATTGGGCCTGGAGCGAATCCGACCCTTGGGAACAAATCATGTGGTCCGGCTCACCTGAGGAGACCCAGCAGATCCAGGACGCCTATGCGGCCTACGAGGACAAGATCCGGACCTTCCAGGAGAGTCGCAAAGCTATGCATGCGAAAAGTGCGAGCCGTGGCTTCTACCCCAAAGGAAAGAAAGGAAAAGGGTATGGCAAGAAGGGCAAACCTTTTGGTAGTGGTGGAAAAGGTTCTTCATCATCTTCTACCCCTTCTCATGTCATGGCCGTTGGAGGTGGAAAACCTGGCAGCCCCTTGTACACTGGCTGCTTCATTTGCGGAGACAAAAGTCACGACTTCCGCAACTGCCCTCGACGCTCCAAGGCCGGAAAAGGTTTTGGTTCTGGTGGCAGCAAAGTGTTCATGGTAACTGAAGAGGAGATCGAAGATGCCACCTACACGTGTTGGCCTATCTCACAACCTATTTCTTCGGCATCCATCATGGCAGCTGGAGAGATTAGCTTTCCAGAAGTGGAAGGCTTTGGAGTGATTGACACTGGTGCGACCGAGACGGTCGCTGGACTTGGCGCCCTCGAGAACATCATGAAGCAGAGGCGCCTGACCCAAGAAAATTGGATGGATTTTGAGGTGATGAACTGCCCGAACAAGACCTTCAAGTTTGGCAATGGAATGACACAACGTTCAGAAAGCATGGTCTTGCTGCCGCAGCGCTTGGGACAGCATAGATTGAGTTTGGGCATCTTCACTTTGCAAGCTGAAGGAGTACCTGTTTTGGTAGGAATTCGCACGCTCTCACGTTTGGGAGCTTTGATCGATTGCAACAAGAGTGCAGTGATCTTTTCAGCAATTGACCCCACGCTCCTTGTTCCTCTCAAGAAGAGCACATCGGGTCACCTTCTCCTTGACCTCAGCCACGATTGGTTGGCCGACGGTGCACGCATTTTGCTAGCTGCTGATGACAACCTGCCGTCGGAGTCATACAAGGAGCGCAGTCAAGCTGAGACTTGTTTCATGCTGAAAGATCAGGCAGAAGGTCATGATGTTTTTGCACACCACACACCTGTTTTTGGAGCACTTCACGATCGACATGTTCACGATTTTGGAGCACGTCACGAAGAGCATGTTTGTCATGGTTTAGAAATTGAAGCAGTCCTTTCACCTTCCGAGATGTCCACATTCAACTCCATGCCTTCAGAAGATGCCACCTCTTATTTGAGTGATGTTTGTGCAGTGAGAGTTCATGAAGATGGGGACACTTTGAGATCATCTTCGGTGGCACTTGCGGCTCAAGAGAACGACATGTCTTTGAGACTGTTGGCACTACTTGCCTCGCCCCTTCTGTCCGCTCAGACCCTTCCTGCTCCCGCATCTCATGGCTCCGAAGTCTACGGGATCGAGCGCGGCCGAATTGAAGAAGAAGAGCCCAGTCAAGACCAAGATGACTTGGGAAGAGCGCTACGATCAGACACGGACGGTGGGAGTGGACAGCCGAGATCCTCGAGCGACAGGTCCACCATGCTTTGGAAACCACGAACCTGCAGCTCCATATCGAGGATCGGTGAGCGGGGCCAACGGACATGCCTCATGGACCGGATGCGAGAAGTGCAAATTGAGGCTGTCATACACCCCAGCGTATGGAGCCACTGGAACCCACCGAGCTCCTGGTCCGCTACCCGTGGACACCAAGAAGGTGGTGGAGAAGCTGGGTCCGGCTGCGCCCTACAACAAAGAGCTCAAGGATCCGGCAATTGGCTTGGAGGGTGCCGAACAGAGCTTGCTGTCCCGCTTGGAGGTGATCCAAGCTCGAAAGAAGGCAGCAGGATACTCGACGACCTCGACAGCAACCCCTCAGGAGCACAGCGGAAACACGACGCCATCTCCGGCCAGTCCGATAGGAGCCGATCCAGAGCATCTACCAGGTCACGCCAGCCGGAAGACCAGAAAGGCCGACGAGAGCGCAGAGCAGCTGGAAGACCACTGGTCTCAGATCTCACCGGGATCACCGGCGTCGCCGAGCTCGGAGGCTCAGCCGTCTCCAGCCTCCATGTGAAGAAGAAAGGATCTGATGATCCAGTCTGGGAAGTCATTCCTGCAAGAAAGATCGTGGTTCCACCCAATGTGAAGGAGTTCATGGATTACAAGGTCCAAAAGAATAACCAGGTCTTGCAGAATGACACCATGCGGCGGCCTCCCAACATGTCGGCGATTGACCCGGTCAGAAAGAATGTCTCCCTGGGGCGGCCTCCCAATTTGATGGCGAATGACCCTGTTTTTGAGTATGCCGCCACTGCTGAGGAGACCTATGGTGAGAAAGAGGCAGGTGAGCAGACATCAAATTCGAAAGACCCTGAACCTGGCTCTGAAGAAGAAGAACGGGTCTACTTCATGTCGAAGTTCTTGGACAAAGAGAAGACGTTCCTCGAGGAGAACACCAAGGACTTCAATGAAGACATAGATGCCGCCTTTGCAACATGCGGTATGACCACCAACTCGCAGCATTGGGACGTTCTTGAGCTTTGCTGCGACGAGAGTTCTCAGTTGATTCAAGAAGTGATTCGAGCCGGCGGTCGTGGTGGACGTGCAGGACTCTTCAACCAGTGCAATTTGACCACGCCTGAGGGGATCCAAAAGACCATCGACATGATCGACCTCCATCGACCACGATGGATTTGGGCTTCGTTTCCTTGTGGCCCGACGTCTCAGGTGCAAGCTCTGAACGAGCTGACCGAGTCCGGCAAGATGAAGAGTGCCTTCCGGAAGAGGCATGCAAGAAAGGTCTTGAGAGGAGGACTTCAGGTGCTTCAATATCACCTAGCTCGAGGAGGACATGTTGCTTGGGAATGGCCTCGCTATAATCGAGCATGGCGCCTGTCTGAAGTTCAAGAGTTTTGGCTCGCCCTTCGTGACCAAGGCTATGCCTATGAAGTCTTGGTTGATGGCTGCATGTATGGCTTGCAATGCAGCGATGGGCCAATCAAGAAACCCTGGCGCTTCATGGTGACCGATGAGAAGGCTTTCCAAGGGGTGGACCGACTATGTCCTGGAGTACATCATCATGTCCCGTGTCTTGGCTCAAACGCCAGAAAGTCAGCCTTCTACACACCTGAACTTTGCAGAAGGCTAGCTCGAGCTATGCTGCAGCCTACTGATTTGGTTGGAGGAGCTCTATTTGAAGATCCAAAGACCGAAGTTCTTGAGAGCCTCACTCCACTTGAGCTGCAGCACTTGGTGGAATCGGTGCGCAAGATTCATCGACTTTGTGGACACCCAAACAATCGAGCACTGGTCAAGCTTCTTCGAGCTCGAGGCGCAAATGAGAAAGTTTTGGCTGTGGCATCCCAGCTGAAGTGTCCTGACTGCGTGGAGAGCCAAGTCTCCACACCTCTTGCAAAGATAGCGGCTGAGAAGGAAGATGTGATTTGGAGAACGTTGCAAATGGACACCTTCTACATGCGCCACCGTGGCTGGGTTCATCACTTCTTGCTTCTTTTGGATGAGGCTTCAAGCTTTGGAGTGGTGAAAGAGATCAAGTACCACGAGGACGACCAGTCCGAGAATGTCTCCACGAATGAAGTTCTGGAAACGTTGGAAGAGAGCTGGTGTCAATATTTCGGCTTTCCAGAACGACTCCGATGCGACGCAGAAGGAGCCTTCCGAGGACTGGACCTTGCCAGATGGTGCTCCGATCGAGGAATTGATCTTCATCACACGCCTGCCGAACACCACTCCACGACAGGTGATGTTGAAAGGGCTATTGGCTCACTACGATTGAAGATGGAAACCTTTTTGAGGAATGAGCCAACCCATCCTCGTCGTGCAGCACATGCCATGATGCAAGCCCACAACCATGTGGCCAGAGTTGGAGGTTTTGCTCCGGCACAATGGGCACTTGGAAGATCTGAAGGAGCCACCAAAGAGAACCTCCCGCTTCTTTGCTCACAAGGAACGCCTGGACATGCAATGGCTGAGAACTTGCGACTCCGGCTTGAAGCAGAACATCTACATGCACGACTTTCAGCAGAAGCTCGCATTTCAAGAGCTATGAACAGCAGAACCAAGCCTACCAAGCAGTTCTTGCCTGGAGACATCGTCTACTACCAGCGGCACAAGGTTCCACGACAGTCGCCAGCAAATCAAGATGTTGATGCACCAAGAATGAGGATTGCTCGCTGGTATGGTCCTGCTCGCGTGTTAGCTTGCGAGACACGCGTGGACAGCTCTGGAACTACAAGACAAGCCTCCAGCGTGATTTGGCTGGTGAATTCCGGCCGTCTGTTGAAAGCTCATGGAGATCAAGTTCGCCACAGCAGCGAGAGAGAGAGAGACTCATTGCCAATGCCGCCAACACGATGGCCATGCCTTGGACCTTCACTATGCTGGCAGCTTCTCTTTCAAAAGGGGCCTATGAGGACTTGACTTCTTCAAAGGCCGAGCGCTTTGAGATGCAGAGGATGAGGAGATCAGCGCGACGCGCTCCTGGACTCCAGATGGAGCGGTTCCCTCGTGATGAGGATGAGATGAGCGCAGAATCTGAAGAACTCATCCCTGAGACTGAGGAGCGAGATGTTCCAGATCCTCTACCTGGACTACATCCTGACGACACTGGAGACCTAGACATTGACAGGCTCATGGATGATCCAAGTTACTACCCTCTACATCCTCTTCCTCGAGAGCCACCTGAACTACCTGGACGAGAAGCTGACTTCAAGAGAGCCAGGCATGCTCATGAGATGGAGGATCGACCTCACCACGTGAGATTTCCTCAAGCCTATCCCTCCGACAACCAAGACATGGTGACTTGGTGCGTTGAGGAAACCAACTCCTTCGTCCTTGGTGTGGAAATCGACGCACCAGCAAGTGAGGCAGAATGGCGCAAGATCCTCAAAGACCCTTCCAAATTTACAGCAAAATCCATTCAAAAGGGAGCAGAAATTTCCTGGCACAAACTCAATCCCCTCCAAAAGAAGGCCATGAGTGAGGCAAAGACCTTGGAGGTGACGTCTTGGGTCAGCAACAAAGTGGTGGAAAAGGCTCTGGGGTTCGTGCCCAAGCACCGACTGATGCGCATGAGATGGGTCTTGGTGCTGAAAGGCACCGACACTCCTGGCCGTGTCAAGGCCAAAGCACGCATCGTCATCCTGGGGTTTAGTGACCCTGAAGGTGAGTTCTTGGACACTGCAGCACCGACGCTTTCTAAGCGCAGCAAGCATCTCCTCTTGAACTTGGCCACCCACAGAAGATGGCATGTCATTAAGGCAGACGCCAAGGCAGCTTTCCTACAGGGCTCAGAATCTCAACGAGCTCGTGGTGTTTTTGCCACTCCAGTCCCTGAGTTGCAGGAAGCTTTGAAGTTGGGACCTCAAGATTCTGTTCGCCTTCTACGAGCAGCCTACGGCCTGGTGAACGCCCCAAGAGAATGGTACCATGATGTTGCCAACATTGCCCAAGGTCCGTGCGGCATGAAGAGGCTTCGCTGTGAGCCTTGCCTGTGGGTCTGCAAAGATGGTGATCAGGTGGTTGGCGCCATGGGGACCCACGTCGACGACTTTTTGTTGATTGGAGACGAAAGCAATGGCAAGTGGCTGCAGACCGTACAAACTCTGTACGACTCTTTGAAATGGAGTCCTTGGGAGCCTTCACCCTTCCAACACTGCGGCATTAACTTGTCGCAAGAGAGCGACTTTGGCTTCCGAATGGATCATGCTGAGTACTGCAGCCAGATCAAGCAGATCACGATCTCCAAGGAGGGCGAGAAGATCAGCCCAGATGAACTGAGTCAAGCTCGTGCCGTCTTGGGAGCAATCCAATGGAGAGTTCAACAGACTGGACCTCAACATGCGGCTAAGCTCTCATTGCTCCAGTCAGCGCTTCCTAATGGCACCAAGGAGACCCTTCACCAGATCAACAAGCTGGTCAGAGAGGTCTATGCTCAGAAAGACCTTTCCATTTCTGTCCAGCAGCTCGATGCAGTGGCTGACAAGGACCTGGTGATGATCGCCTGGACGGATGCAGCTGTGGGCAACCGCCCCGACCTCAGTTCCACAGGAGCCTATGTCGTAGGATTGGCTCACAAGCAGATCTTGGATGGCGTGCGCAGCCCAGTGAACCTCATTTCATGGAAAAGCGGCAAACTGCCGCGGGTGGCACGCAGCAGCCTTTCTGCTGAGCTGCAATCTCTCGCCGAAGGAAATGATGAGCTGATGTTTTGCAGGGCACTATGGTCAGAACTTTTAGGTCACGACCTTTGCCTTGAAGACCCTGCGGCCAGTTTCAAGAAGATTGATGGCGCTTTGGTGATCGACGCCAAGAGCGTTTTCGACGCCTACCACAAAGGCGACGGAGCTTCCTCTGCCTTCAGCATGAAGGACAAGCACAGTGCCTTGGAGTTGCTAGCCCTGCAGGATAGCATGGGCCGGAACTCAACTCAGTTGCTTTGGGTATCTTCGGATGCTCAACTGAGTGATGGCCTCACCAAAAGCAGCGCCCAAGATGCCTTCAAAGCTTTCATGATGAAAGGCCAGCGCTGGAACGTACGCTTTGATCCTGGCTTCGTGGCAGCCAAGAAGAAGAAGATGGCTACATCCACGCCTTTGCCACCTGAGCTGTGGGACCACGAGCTGATTCCTGAGAGTTGGCAGAATCTCATCAGCCAGAGGCGCAACGCTTCGGCAAAGAGCTTTGGGGCATGTAACTTTTTCTGCTTTGAGCATGAGAGGCTGAACGCATTTGCCTCCGCTCGACGCCCTGGCTCAAATTAGGAATTCCTTTGGCCGATTCCTCCTTTTTCGGAGGACCTCGCTACGTGTTTTGTGCCATAGGCCAAAGTGGCCTGGCGCTCACGACTACGCCCTTGCAGTGGCGGCGGAAAACCTTTGGAGCTTGAGAGCTGTTTGCTAGTTGAAAACTACACCCACCTCTTTTTGCTCGACACCTTTGCCAATTTTGTCGTTACCAGTTCACCAACGAAAGCATGGCGAGTCGTATACATGATGACTGCTCGACTGTTTGAAAGGGGAAACCACCAATGCTTCAAAAGCACTTTTGCCTGAAATGATCGCAAGGTGCAACAAAAGGACACGCAATATTCCGAACTTCTGCTTCATTGCCTCTACTTCTTGGCTCCACAAACCACAAAACCAAATCCTGCCATGTCTGTACTCATGTCTGGTTCCTTCGGGTTAAAAACGCTCGCTTCGTCCGATCAACCCTCGATCGCGACTTCAAAAGCAAATGGTGCTTACTGATCATGGCTGAAGCATCGTTAAGAACTAAGCGATGTGTGTTTGGAATGCCTGTGGGTGAGTGATCTATGCGATTTAAGTCTAAGTAGAACAATGTGAAACATCATTGGCTATGAATCCGCAACACATGGCAGGACATTGTGATGCATTACCTGCGTGTGTCATGGTAGTGTTGAATCTAGGTCGCCCTAGGGTTGCATCGCATGACTGGCCACTCTACACAACACAACTTTGCAGTCCTTACATCGCATGACTGGCATTGCATCACCTTACCCTGCATGAGCGGCTGGTGATTGGATGTGTTCCGTGACACTTGTGCACTTGCCATGTCACCATGACACAAGACTCATCGCATGGCAATGGTCATGCCATTTGGACTCAGCATGCATCATGCATCAGGTCTTTTTTTGTTCTCTCTCTCTCTCTATCTACTAAAGACAAATCTCTGCTCTCGGGGCCCCCCCGTTCTGATTTCAGAAGAGGAGAGCATTCCTTGTTGGACATGCCGCTGAGGAACTCGCCCCACATGCAGCCCAGAATTCAGATATATCCAAGGTGTAGTGATGTTGTGCCTGGTAGCGGGCTGTTTCACAAAACGAACATCACTGACAAATACTCCATCACTGGGGGATCATTTGGAGATGGGGCAAATCACAAACCACTGATTTTGCCTAAGAAGACCTACTTCTGGCCACCAGATCCGTGAGTGGCTCGGCGGCCAATCACCCGAAAGGCCACGCACGCTCGTGAGCATTTGGTCATGTAGGCAGCGATGAGTTGTGCCTCGAAAGGATCCTTTGCTGGAAACCTCGAGACTTCTCCCCACTGGAGTAGAAATAGATCTAACAAAATATCTGGCGATCTTGGGGGCCTACCGCACCAAGAAGCTCGGCCCGGCAAAGGTGTTTCCGTCTGACCACCGAACGGCAAACAAAAGGCTTCGCGTGTGAAGCAGCAGAGGCAAGCCCTGACCTGGCCTCTTCGCTAGGCGCTGCTGCTCTTCGCAAAACTTGTCACAGTCGGTTTCCGCTCCAAAGAAGACTGGTCGCCCCGTGTAGAGCTCCAAGGCTTCCAAACGCTCCAAGAGTTGCGTCTCGCCCTCCAGAACCATTGTATCATAGGCATCCTGGAGTCGAATCTGATGAAACCTACATGGACACATCTTTTGGGAAGCAAGGCCTCCAAAAGACCTTGAAAGATGCATTTTCTCACGATTTCGTGACTGGCATCCCTTTTGAGACATGCTCCTGCTCTTTCTTTTGATTGCGCCCAGAACACCAGAAAGCCTAATTTGGTACAAAGCGATCCACCGCATCCACCAATATCCCGGTTGAATGCTCCGAATCGCTTTTCAAACTGTTCAGTTGAGCACGGAGGGCGGAAGGCCCAGCAGTTGAAGGCCCATTCCCACCTTCGCAAAACGTATGGTTTCTTGAATTCTTGACGCAACACCTTGGCCATTCCCTCATGCGCTTTCAATGTGTCGACGGAAGCAGTTGCAGCAACCAATTCTGCCGTTGAAGGAAGACGTCCTTCACCACCTGGAACACACAAGACGTCCTTCGTATCGTGGTCTTACCAATCACGGTTCCCAGGTGATGCAAGACTTCGTCCATCGCATCTCGCCATGACCGTCCCTTCTCGGTTTGTGGTTTTTGACACGAAACCCCCTGTCGATTCAAGCGAATCAATGTGCCACGACACCAGGAAGAAGACAAAGTCGCAGATCTGCGATGGACCCAGACGCTTCCAGAGATACTCTCGATAGGCCGGAAGCTTCTTCCAGGGCGGCCAGCTGGATCCTGGAGTAGTGCAACATGCTGATGAATCTAAGGACCAACCACGGGGGTCTGCTTATTTGTATAGTGAAATCATCCTTTGTATGTACATCAAAACATTATATATATATATATACATATATTAATATATATATACAGTATATAATATGTTGGTGCAGCGAAGTTCAGACAAAAATGTGATGCTCAAAGAGTAACAATGGTTTGGAAAGGAACAGGCACGTTCGGCAGAACCGTTGGTGCGGTTCTGCGGAAAGAGCAGCTCAATCCCTCCAGAAGTTGGCCCAGCCAAAGCCCCTCTACAAGGTGGAACAGCAGGACAACAGGCTAATACCATGATGTTAACAAGGGTGGGCCGGCCTCACTCTCCACCCCAGGGTGCCCAGGGGCAACAGGGCAAGGGTGTTCCTCTCCTTGACCATCATCCAATAGGACGACACGACCCAGGTGGAACAACGTTGAAGCTAAGAACGGGAGCATTGCGACGTTGATTTCCTGAGAACTCGACTCGGCATGATAACCAGAGCGAGTTCGGGCCATTAGAGCGCTTGCTGGTTTTGCCACTGTCACAGAACCCCAAGGATTTCAATGATGTTCTATTCTTCGCAACTACCCAAAGGAAGTGTGTTCTTCATACCCCAACTCCATAGCGAGCCATTTTTTGTGGGTTTTCTGCGATTGAACATCTTTGCACCTTCTTGCACCACATCTCTTTTCTGATGATCACCCTCGTCCGTTTCGCAACAGCATCACCGAATTCCCTGGCAAGACTGACAGCCACTGACGGCCAGAAAACATCCACCTACCTGGTCACAATCGGCGTGACCCACTCGAATCGGAGCCCAGCAACACTGGCAAAGGTGGCCACATGAATCTGTGCCGATGCCTTGTCACAGCTCACGCGCCCAGCAACATCGCTTCGAGCCTCGCTGCCTCAGCTGCTCCATGGGAAGGCGGAGCGTCATAAGGACTTCAAAACCCAGCCGCCCAAGAAAAGCAGTCAGCTTTGACCAAAACATTCGAGGCCCAGCCACCCAAGCAGCCGTAAAGCAGCGTCAGGAAGACAACGAGATGGGTCGCCATGAGGCGCGCATCGATCGAGGAGAAAGGAGGCAGATAAACCCGGAACCAGCAGAAAAGAAACATTGCACTTGCTCAGTTCCATTCGGAACTTTGCCCAGGTTCTATTGTTTTTCCAGGTTCTCCACCCCAAATCCGACCAGGGTGCCGGTCCAGTTTGTTTCAACTAAAGGTCCACAGTGTTCTGCATTATGTTCTTCATGAGCTTCGGTCTTGATGCTGTGGCCAGTGGCCACAGCGCACCGAGCGCGCCCGACCGTGCGGGCCCGATCCGCTCTCGGGAAACCGACGTTGGTTTGTAAAGCTGTTCGTTTGCACCAGTGCAAACCGAGAAAGGATGAGAGACCTGAACTAGGACCCTGTAGTGGTACATATTGGGATGGGCTATAGGGGATGTTCAACCTCTCTAGGAAAGGTGCTAGGCATGGGAGTCAGTACGGTCTTCGATTTGATCGCCAGCCTTTCAGCTACCCGGCTGCGTGGAGAAAGCACCGGTGAAAAATCATCACAACAGCAAGGAGTCACATCTGGAGGACTTCCTGCTTCCCACTGTGCTGGCCTTTTTGAAAGTCGGATGGTATGTGGTTCACCAAGACTCGAGTTTCATAGGGGCAATGTTCATGCCTAGCTTGTCATGTGCTTCAGACCATGACCAGGCTTGGGACCTTCAAATGTGCGAAACCGCAACACCGAAAGATGGTGGCTCAAAGGAAAATTATTCTGATCAGCTTTTCAGTGCCAAGTAGTGTCAAGGAGAATCACAAGTTGGCCAGAGGACGTCCTTCTTGCATCCCACTTATATACATCTTGCTTTTGCCGGCAATAAGCCAAAAACTGGATCTCAATAGCTCTAGCTCCCTTTCCTGGCCTCTCAAGCACTCTAGACTCTAGAAGTGAACTGACCCACAGCAGAATGGCTGAATTCAGAACTTTCTGCAGTGCTGTGCATTCTTCTCCGTCCTGTAGTAGCTCATTTTTGCGTCCCCAAATCACATGTCGACGGAGACACGGAGTCACTCACACATTTCCCGGGTGGCGGCGACGGCCTCCTGGCAGCCGCTGATGGGGCAGGAGGCCAAACCACATGGGCCCCAGAAATGGTCCAAAGTTCTGCTTTCTTCCACGCCTGAAAAAACATACGCATCTCGCCGGAAAAAACCGAGCAAATGGCGCTAGGTACTACCTCCCCCCAAGGGGCAAAGCCGCCTTTCTCGTGGTCTTTCTCATCGTCCGACGTGCCGCTCTCCTCTCGGTCGGGAGGTTGCTTCGGGCGACCTGTCCCTCACCAGGAGGAGAAGTCGAAGTCTGTTCTGGCACGCTTCGACCTCGATGTGCCGGCGATTCTTCGTCACAGTTCCGTTCGGACGGCCCCCAATATTCCTGAAGACTGCTCCAGACTGCTCCAGGTCATTACAGTGGTTTGAGAATAGATAGCACAAGGGCCCCCAAGTTCGGGGGTTTATGCGGATCCCATCTAAAAGACATCTTCTGAAACCACTGTATTTTGTTGGGGGAACCCGCTTCTGACTTTTGGAACAAAGCACACGCCCGGAACCACACGGAAACTAGCCATTGAGCCATTTCATGTGATTCCCTCTTGTTGAGGCTTGGGACAGTTGGTTGGATCTGCATTACAATCAAGAGACCACAACCAATAGGTATTCCTTCATAGTCACAGTCTTCATCTACTTCTCAGATTACCACGTGTAGCTGGCAACGTCCCACAATCGACACACTTGGTTGGTCGTGGTGGACTCAAACAGAAGAGATCGACAGTTCTTGGGTCAGCAAGTCTGCCACTTGCAGAACCACTGGCACCAGGATTCCATGCCGGTCCGGTCCAACCGACCCCATTGCATGTTCCCTTGACCTGCTTGGATTCAGAAATGACCAGAGATCCCGGTATCCCAAGGCACAAAACCAGCATTTAGAAAGAGGTTGGTGACCCATAGATACTTCGGCATGTGAGAAGACCATCAATGATGTTTGTATATATATATATGAAGATCACTGAACATCGAAGGAGTTCCGTTTAGACATCCCCTGAAGTGAACCTGCCCAGAACCTTCCCAGAAGTCCCAGTCCCAGTTCGTCCTGAAAAACGGGTCTTACAGACTCAAGACAGACCCTCGTGGATCCTGCTCGGTCTTCTGTGTGAGTTCACCCCTTAGAGCTTGTGGGGGTATTTACTACTGACTGGTCACATTCTCCTTGAAGATATGTCTCCGCCTCCCGCGGTAGCGAACCACATCTTCCGACAAAGAGTCTGTTTACCCCGTCATCCCTCGGCCGCCATGTGTTCAGTGTCTGACTTCTGGGTGATGTTCGCGTATTCAACCTCTTCCTCCGGCATGGCCTTGCGCAAGTCGCCCACTAATTCAAACACTGGGGATCAACGATTCGTGGACCCGCCTAATCTGTCTATGTGGATAGTGGTAAGCTGAAATATGCTGAAAATATTCCCTTCGCATTGTTGCAAGCTTTTGCCTGAGGCGGCTGAGAGTGGCTTTTGCAGGAGTGCCTCCTTCTCGTGAGCGTCCCATGGATCTTCAACAAACAATGCTGGCGGTTGCAGGGTTGCTTGCTTTCCAGGGCCCAGATTGGCAAATAACTGCATGCGATCATGGAATGATGGCCGTAACCGGAGTTCCTTTATTTGCTGATGGACCTGGGTGAGACCCCATCTCTTCCTCTGCACCGGTCACCACTCTCGTGCAGCAATGAGAAGAAAAGGGCTGCTGGAGAGCGAGCTTGACTGGGAGACCAGACTGGATGTGACCAGACTGGATGTGACCTTAACTGGAGGGTAATTCTACGGTTTCTTCGGTGAGAGGCAAAGGCAAAGGCTGGGAACTTCGGACACCGAAACAGAACCAGGCCGCCTCGGGGCGTTTGGACTGCCCTGGAAGGGCCGGCAGTTCATCCGGCAGATACTTCCCAACCTGCCACGTCCGGAGGGGCGCGGAGAACCCGGTATCTGGTCCCAACAGGGTCACGGGAGGGATGACATTTGGTGGAAGACGTCGTGAAATCAGTAGCGTCCTTGTAGGGTCCTAGTAGCGTCCTTGTTCCTAGTAGTAAGGCCAGGAGCCCCTAGTA